ATCAGTGAACGGGGTAATTATAGATATAATAAAAAACTCGCCGAAGAACACCAAGCTCATCAATCTCATTGAAAAACACTATAAACTATGATTTGTCTTCTTATTTGGTCTGTAATATATTCGTTTCAGAATTTCAAATTTTTTTTGCAGTGCCGGGGGGGCGATGAAGTTGTATAAACTAGTTTAGGGGGGCGATGGTACAAAAAGTTTGGGAACCACTGATATAGACTACCTGTATACCTACATGTTTCTGCTTAAACTTGTGATATACCGGTACCTAAAAAATTGTCTTTATACCATACTTGACTATGGAAAAATTTTTCATTTTTTAAATATCGAAATCATTAATTTTATAGAAAAATTATCTAACTACGTGGGAATTTTATAGAAAAATTATCTAACTACGTGGGGCTTACAGGGGGACTGACTACTGATAGCTAATTTTACGGTAGTTAATCACATCGTTGATCGTTCGTGAGACTAAATTTTGATTACTGCAACTAAACTAAAGCTCCACATAGCCTAAGTCATCATGAAAATTAAGTTATACAATTATCTTTTGGAAACAGAACTAAAAACTGACAAATAACACGCAAAACTATAAAAACGAGAAAATGCTTACAACCCTGCCTGAACGGGTGCAGAAACTGCAATGATTTTCTTGTTGGTTATGTTTAGGCGTTAAGTAAACAAGGTACTATTATTATACACTAAATATTGTATTTCCTAAGATTTTAATAATAGACACTAGAAAAGAATTAAATAAGCCAAAAAAGGCCAAATAGCCAAACAGAAATTCTGACGCCAAACGTGTTTGAAAAAAGTCGAAAATGGCTAATTTGGCCTTAAAAAAGCCACGCCACAATGGGACAAGTTAGTTGCACAGGGTTGCGCAGCAGAGATGAGCGGAGTCAGGATTTTCAGACTCCGACTCTGTCCTGATCCGAAAACGATATTCGAATTCTGAGTCCGACTCCGAACAAGGAAAACTATGACTCATGTTTCGCTCCTGTTGACAAATCTAATTTTGACATATTTTAGTGTTCACTACATCAAAAACATGCTGCGTTGATGTATTTTATGTTCATTACACACACTACAAACATCTGAAACATTTGAAAATATTCATTATTATATTTCCCAAACTCACATTTAAACTTTGTTAATAGTTTTTTTTTGAATCGCTGAAATTTACATTGCTGCCTGTAACAAAAACCACATAGGGAGTGACTATGTATCAGTGTTCACTACAACTGATCTAAACATTGCAAAGTCTGCGGTATTACGTACGCTAGCACACACTCATTACTATGTTCAATAAAACATCAATATTATATTGTGAGATCAAATGGCACCTATGAATAATCAGGTTGACTGCCAGTTGCCAGCACATCAAAACACTATGAAAACAAAGTAGCGCCGCATTTATAACTATGTGGCATTCATGCATTATCTGATTATAGTCAGGAATCGTATAAAAATTAGTTATAGTCCCTATTTCAGGAATAATTTAGAAGTTTCATTTGAAAATTTGAGTAATTTTAACCCCACAGTATGATTGAAAAATGCATTTATCCAATTATCGAAAAATATGGAAAAAAGGCAACCAACCAAAACTTTACACATTTTCTAATTCAAACGGTATATCTAGGCGCTGTCTTTCAAACATGACTCAATTTAATGCATATTTGATTACCATATGCTAAAACAATTTTTACCAATGCTTGGGAATAATAGTTTGCTTGAGGCTTGGCCAACCCACAGTCCCATGAATTCAGTGTTCGCTACAATCACATTTAACCATTGCAAAGTCTGCATAGAACTAATGCTGCATAGCCACAATTACATTCAAGTATTTAACATTATTCTCCGCCAAAAGAATGTTTCATCTGTTCGTTATACAGCTACCGGTACCAGGTTATAGTGTTCAACATAACAGTGAACAGTCCCGGTTATACGATACCGGTACGGTGCATTTCTTTGGCACCGGTAATGCACAACAAATTAACGGCACATACAGGCATGCGAGTTTTCGCTACTACTTGGCAACCCAGAATTCTGTTAAATATTACATCTGGTTCAAGCTTGTACCCCAGTGGTAAACACGGATTCACCAATGGTGTCAGTCTAACGAGGCACGATTGTGTTTTAATATTTATGTACAGATAATTTAAGTCCGTTTAAAATTCAAATTATGCCTGTACGTATGGTACTTCTATCGGTTATATTATAGATTTAGTTGGGACTCCTGATTGACTCCGGGCAACCGAGAATATTCCCACTCCTGATCCGATCCTGTTTGCTGAAAACACTGCCGAAGTCCTGAATCAACACTATTGCGCAGCACAGTTCACATATGCAGTGGTGGTTGGAGTCGAGTAACTGGATCTAACTGTCGGGCGAATTAGGGCTCAGAATTCACACACCAACGCATATGCAATAACTAGACAAGAAATATAAATAAAACAATAAAAAATCGCACAATTCCAGTCCCGCCACAATTATTTAGATAACATCACAATTTATGGGGATGATCAACCACAACATGATAAACGATTGAAAGCTCTTATAAATGCTGTGGAGGGGCAAGGTTTGACATTAAATAAAAATAAGTCTGTATTTTCAGTGACTGAACTAAAATTCTTTGGGCATTTGGTATCACATGGCAAAATTCGGCCAGATCCTGATCATTTACAACCTCTTATTAATCTTAAAACACCATTATAACGTTGCTTGGGATTGTTTGCTTACTATTCGAAATGGATATCTAAATTTTCTGAAATATTCAAGCCACTTACGACTAATACATTGTTTCCCCTTAAAGACAAAGCTTAATCTTATTTTAATCAATTGAAAGCTGATTTGTTCAAAGCGTGCTAGGGGTGCACATATGAAGATGAACCGTTTGTTATTGAGTGTGGTGCGTCCAAATTTACCATTGCAGCATTTTGAGTCAAAGAGGAAGGCCGGTCGCATTTAACTCTCGAACACTCATTAAATCAGGAATGAGGCATCCGACAGTAGAAAAATCATGGTGTTCGTCGACTACTTCATTTCATACGCTCTCAATCTCTGCTCTTTTCTGTTGACGATGTGAACAGGAAATGCGCTAATCGTCGACAATGTGGTCAAATAAAACCCAACTTTTATAGATTCGATGGTAGCTATCATTTGGTTAGAGCTACTCGGGCCTGGGAGAGAGTTAGTATTGATTTTGAATGTATCGTCGCAAGAAAACGACGATATTTACTTGTGATATTGGAGTATAGTAGATTTCCTTTTGTATACCCATGTGCGGACATGACTGCAATCATACTAAATGTCTCGCATCATTATTTTCCTTGTTTGATTTACCGGAGTATGATCACAGCGACAGAGGAACTTCCTTTTTGGGTAATGCGATTAGCAATACAACTCATTATCATCCGAAATAAAATTCCCAATGCGAAAGAGCAAATCAGGCCATATGAGAAACTATCAAACTAATGCTCTTATCAAGAAAATCTGCCCGAAAGTGCTTGAGAGGAAGTTCTACCAGACGCTTTACATGCGACAAGATCACTTTTTTGCACCTCCACTGATACTACGCCACATAATCGCTTGTTCAATTTTGAATGACGCTTTATGCTTGGAAACTCTGTACGATTCTGGCTATTGAATGACGGTAAAGTACTCTTACACAAATTCGTACGAGCAAAAAGTGACCCGATTTGTGAAAAAGTTGAGCTTCTTGAAGCTAAAACCAAGTACTCGTTAATCCGTTATCCTGATGGTCGAGAATAGACGGTTTCAACGAGTGATCTGGCGCGATTCCCTGAAACTGTTTAATCTGACAGCAAGCAATTGGAAATTGAAAAGACTTAATCCGTATCGGTATTAGCCCGTCAGGATGCGCTATTCAGTTTTGAGGTTCCCGATTTGAAGAACGATGACACAATTCCTTCTGATGACTTAGTTGAGGTAGCAGATAAAACTTCTACTCCAATTAAGAAGGAAGAGATTCCTATTCCTCGGCCGAGTCGTTTAAAAAGGGCGCCCGATCATTATGTAGACTGGGGCGACTTTTGAATTCCTTTATTCAAGATTGATGTTTCCATGCTTCTGTTATTATTATACTTTTATTGTTTTACTTTTATCAGCTGGGGAGAATGTGGTGATTTTTGTCTTAAAATCTATCAACGCATAAAACAGTCACGACATTTGACCCTGCTGTCGTATAGTGTTCATCCTTTAATACCATGGTGTTTTGATTTAAAAGTCATTCTTTGCGTTGTGCTGCCTAAGACTATTAGTTGACTTTGAGATAATAAAAGCAAGTATACAAGTTTGTTCCTTTCTGTATTAGGTTCATCACAAGTAGTTTCAAAACTCTAGAATTCTAACTTTTGAATTAAATATTATAACCTCGGGTGTCTCTGCTCTATGACCAGCTTTGGTTCAACGCGACTTCTCTTCCCCAGTAAAACTGTGTGAATTATCATTTTCTCGTAATTTGTTTGTGCTTGTGATATTTTTTTTACTGGTTGGAAAAATAAACTTGACTTGACTTCTGGCTCTTACCTAAGGTAGATGGGATTTCGATATTTATCAATTTTGCTCGGCTAAATGTCCAGTATCTATAGGATGAGAGACTGACTGGGTACGGGATAGCAAATAACAGTACCAGTACTTCTGTAGTCCCTGAGTATATCTCAATTCTTATTACTGTGCTATAATTTGTATAAAGTTTAAATTACTACCCAATAGATGTAATCACGGTTGTAAAATACAAAGAAATAAACCTCTGTTCAATGTTTTTACCACATATCCGTCTGAAGTGAAAGATATTGATATTGTATTGCATACAAAATGTATGAGACGTACCGATAAGTGAATTGGCAAAAAATCGTCTGCTAACCAACTAATCGCCTATAATTCCAACTGCCTTAATAATTTAGCGCGCCCGTGGTTTAGTTTTGCGTGAGCTTTTTGTTGATCTAATACAACTAATGAAACGAAAATCTGTGTATTATGATATTTTACTCGGGTTATTCAATAATAAGATCAATTACATTTGATCATTAAGTTTTAAATCTCGAATAACTCGATAGCAAAATCCCAAATTTAAATTTTTATATACAACACACTATTTCATGCGGGCAATATATTTTAACAGTATATCGGCGTGTTTCAGCCATGAAGTCGAATAAAGGCTAAATAATATTTTTTTTGATATATGTATACATAAGGCAGCGATCGTTTGTTTGGCAAATAATTAAACTAATCTGTAAACACATTTTGGCATTAAAGATGTTACTTAAAAGTATATAATACATGCTCTCGAAAATGCCATTGAGGTGGTAATAAAATATCTGTAGATTATAAGTCATATGTAACTTAAACTTTCTCCATGATTTATGTAAAATGGTGGAAGCGTAGTAAAGCAATAGTAGTTGATAAAAATGTTGACATAAGTCTTATATATAGAATACTAACGTTAATCTTCGTATGCTCAATGTTAAAGACATTAATATGGTTAGGGGAGACTTTACTTTTCTTTGCCATTTTTCAGAAAATTTGCCAAATTAGTGAAATTACAGAGATCTACACACAATTAAGTATGAAAGTAGAGAGTGTTCATGAGGCCTTGGCCTAATGAGAGCTTGGCCTAATGAGAGAAGGTCAGGAATGATTTTGGAAAACTTATATTTCAATATTGATCGTTTCCTACAATATTGTTAAATTCTTTTTTTGTGAGATTTGTTCAAGCAAAAGTTTCCAAGTGGACGTTTAAGATTCCTTTCTTTCTACTCTTCTTCGTCAGATGATGAAGATGAAGATTCGCTGGATCTATCGACTCTTTTTTCAGATGTCTTAGAAGATACAATTTTGCCATCCCTGAAGAAGAGTGTCAATTAGCGTGAACATTTAATCGTAGAAAGTTTTTTTAAATATAACTGCATCACTATTAGAAAAGAAATACGTTGAAAAGATATGTGTTGCATCGCACGAGAATTCTCTACTCTGTGCCTGGAAGCATAGAAATATCTCACCTAGTTTCTATTGTCTTGATTATAACCTTCTTTGAAGTTTTGGTTTTTGTAGAAACCTCGTCATCACTTTCCGAACTCGAGCTGCTTGAAAGCCTGAAAACATGTGTAATTTTGAGTTAATTACTCCACATAATGCAAATGATAATAAAAAAATAGCAACACTCAAATAGTAACACTCGCGCACGATATTTATGATCTGATTATTAAATAGAGTAACCATATTTTGTGACCTCGATTTTTCAACTTATTTACCAATTTTACATTTGGGGCCTACATTTTAAACCATCCCGGCTCTCTTCATTGACCATATTGTCATTGAGAGTTGATGTGCTGTCTGTCTAAATATCGGTTTCATTTTAAAAAATAGAAGGAAGTTTCGTTGACGTTGAGCACTATTTGGCATACGGGGCTTACACGTAACAAATTGTAGCAATTATCGACAATGTTAGCCGGAAACATTGAAACAAACAAAACCACGCATCCACCATCGATAAGTAGGCTACCGGTACGCTACACAGTAACAATAGTATCGAGAACATGCTAATTGGTAACGTTCGAGTATTATGCTGACTAGCTGAACGCAAAAGCGAGATTTTTGGCTGACCGATCGGGACGCCAGGACAAGACGTTGAAAAGTGGAACTGTCCCGCCTAAAACGGGACGTATGGTAAGTCTAATATTGAATGCATTTGAAAAAAAAATAAAAAAAACGCTGAAGGACAATTATTTAATATAATCTTCGACAGAAAGTGTAGTCTATTGCATATAACTAATAAATACTTGATAACTTATTTGAACAAGATTTATATTTGGGTAATTTATCTAATTCCGATTGATCAATAAACTCATAAAGAGACGTACTTTCCGTCTCCTTCTCCCTCAAGTAGGCGCCGGTATGTTCTGATTTCCTTCTCAAGAGATAGTTTGACGCTCATTAGACGCTTATATTCCGCAAGATGACGTTTCATTTCACCAGTAGCATGCTCCAAGTCGGTGCCTATGCGAGCAAGTCGATCTTGATACCTATAAAAATAAAATGTTTGCATATAATCACTTGAACATTTGAATTTTTTTTCAAACGCGAACATTAGTAAGACTTCCAGGTCATCTCAAGAACGGCAATACACCAAAATTACATTATTACAACGAAAGGCTCAAGCGCCGGTTTGTTTAAACATTTGTACATTCTTGTTATACAAATGTGTGCAGTTCAGACCAATACTGAAACACAAAGATTGAGAACCACCTTGTAACTTCTGATTCATAACGTTTCTCCACATCAGCCAGATTGCGCTCCAAGTAGTCATTCTGAAAAAAAGAAAAATTGATCAAAATTTTCAGTGGAGGAAGTGAATCAATACGGATTCATAAATGAAGAATGGTATTATGTCGTTTGCCAGAATCTTCGTTTCAATTTACAATTGATCAATTCGGTTATTTAGCCACAACTTATTGCACAAAAATTGTGGATGGTATACCGAGCCGTAAACAAAACGAACGCGCGTCAACTTTTACGAGTATCTGATGAGGCGATTAGAGAATGATCGTCACCTGAGGGCATAGCATCAACTACAATTAAATTTTAGATATACTTTGTTGGTATTTTAGAAAGACTGGTGGAACTGAGAGTGTATCCGTTAAAATATAGCTGTCAAACTGATAAAATTTGATTACCTAATAATTTTTACAATTTTCAACAAACAGGCATTTATGAATCATATCCATAACCGTCGTGAATACCATATTTCAACCAAATTGTCACATTATAGTTTTGCTCATTGTTGCACTCCACAAGTTATGTGGCATGGACTGTTCACCAAGTTACATGTTATTTTGACGCTATTTGACTTCGATTCACAACACCTTATCGCGAAATATAAATATGTATGATTTTATTACCACGCGATGTAACCATATAAGGAATGTAATACGATAAGCCGCTAAACAACGCAAATCACTAACGCAGTGCCGGCCGGTTCTCTTTGCCCCGAGGCTTAGACTGTTGTATGCATCTTTCCAACAACCAGTCGAGAAGACCGCTGATATCGTATTGTAAAAGCTATGTTTCAAATATACCGTATGTATATATACATTATCCATTTGAAATTACAGAGGTTAATAATCTTCACGTTTAACCTGATGTGCTGCTTAAATTGCATGCATTTCAACTAAGAAAGTAGGCTAGTTTAGGGATTTGTTCAAAAAGAATTGTTTTGAAACAATTATTTTAAATCAAGTTTTTTTTGCCTGTTTTGTTCAAAATGGCTGTACTATTTGATTTTTTTGTATTAAATAAGTTGAAGAAAAATGGATGTAAAAACTTGCAATAAATTTTTCAAAACGCCACAAATATCGATAGAGGCTCATGAAGAAAAATGGATGTAAAAACTTGCAATAAATTTTTCAAAACGCCACAAATATCGATAGATGCTCATGCACACCTTCTCAAGCTGTACTTCAGTGGTTGGCGCAGTAAGACGCAACCGATAACCCATTACGTGAACGACCCTGCTGCGATGAAACCACCTTGCGAAAATTGAAATGCGATCGAATAAACGAGTTTGTATAACCTTGAAAAACTCACTTCAACCTTAAAAAACAAAGTATGCTAAGCACAAATTATCCGAACAGTATTAACAGTAACAATGACTTCATTTTATGAGATCAATACATGACCTAGAACTCCATATTATGGCGTCATAACAGATTAGTTGTGGCGTCTTTGCATCAGAGGACTCTTAACATAGGCTATTAACATATGCTAGGCTAGGGTGTCTCATCGTTCATATCAGTAGATCACCGCCGATATAAGCATATTCTTCATTATCGCGACTCAAAACGTCTCTCTGATATCTCTGCTAAACATTCCGGGTGAAATCTTATGACTTTGGTAAAAAAAATTTGATTTAAAACAAGCCCCTCTTTTAAAACACGAGTTTTTTTTTAGAATTAATAAACAACAAAACCCTACTAGTAATATCTGAGTGATGCTCAGCAAATTTCTTTGGTAGTTCAACAACGGTGTTTATGTTAAATATAAGAATGATATAAATGAAACTTGCAAAATGTGATTTTGGGCACTATTTTTGTGATAATTTAAAAATCTATATATAACCCATGAGTGCAAAAATTAGTTAGTGTGAACAAAACACTAAAATAGTAAGTAGTATGAGCAGTCAAAAAGTACATTTGTCTCACCGTTCCTCGAAGAGATTCAAGCTCCATTTCGAGTTGAGTAACTTGTTTTCTGTATTCTCCAATGTCTCCTTGTACCTTTTCAAGGTCGCCTTGGTTTGACTTTGCTTTATCTTCAAGATCTTCGAACTAGAAGTAGAAATCATTTGCAATTTATAACTGATAATGGCATTCGGCAAACACTTAAACTATTCGGCTCAAAATTTTGTCTCAATAAAAAATGGGTCACGCAAACTGACGTTTTTAACCGAACCGCATTGTTTGAAACTATATATGCGTTGTTAATCCTCCACTTGCAAATCTCTAGAATAACTTTTTTTACCTTCTTCTTATACCAAGCTTCAGCTTCATCTCTGTTCTGAATCACAATATCTTCGTATTGAGCTCTAATCTGTCGCAAAAGTTCTCCAACGTCAGGAGCGATTCCATCAACTTCAATATTAACTCCTTGTTCAGCAATTTGTTTCTTAAGATCTTCAATTTCCTGTCAAATATTCATTTATATTTAAATTTATGTACATTCGTGTGGACGTTAGATTTTAAATCATTCGCTCGTACCTAAAAGCAGGCAATTCATACCACGATCCTGAAATCATATAATTATTATTTTTTAACAATCGGTTCATCAATTGCACGCCTGAAGCAATGCAACAAGTTTTAGTTCAGTCAATTAGGTAAATAGTTTGCCAATGCCATGCTTTGACCCTATTTTATCACGAATTTGTTATGTATCATAAATGAATACGGTAAGGTTATAGTTCAATTGGGTAATATTCCAGTGTTTTATTCATATTAGTGGTATTATTCAGTTTGTTGTGGGATATTTATTCTACATTTGATTGCTCGTTTACTAAACAAGCCTGCACTTGAGCAAGTGAAATTATGCAGTATATTAATCTAAATATATTCTCACTTCGTCATGTATCTTTCGGTTGTATTCAAGTTCTTCGCGTAAGGTTTCAATCTTTCGCTCAAGATCAACGCGCACCATTGTTGCGTCATCAACGTCTTTACGCA